ATGGCGGTTTCAAATCGAATCCAGGAGGCCAGCCGCATTGGCGCAGCGATTCTATCACGTCTGGGAATGACATTGGGGTGCGTAAGCTTCAGGTCAGTGTTAGTTTGATGTGGAATCGGCCTCTGGCCTTTGGTTGTGTTTGGTTGTGGTTGGGGTGGTTGGGTTGCGTGTTGTTTTTCGGGTTTCTTGTGTTCTATTCCCATCATCTTGTTGTGTTTCCTTTCCTTTCAATGATGACCTGGGCACACCGCCCACACGGCGTCCGCACTCGTGGAAAAAAAGTGCACCTCAAGAGGGCGTCTCGCCCAATGCGTCTTGGCAAGTTTGAGCTGCTGCAGCTTGGTCGTCGGTGGACAAGTCTCCAGTTGGAGACATATCAGTTGTCACACTGATAAGAACAGATGCTGCACTTGATCATAGCCAAAAGGCCGAGAAGGAAATGAGCAGATAGACAGTTCCCTAGGCTGCCTCCCAAGAGGTGGTCAGGGAGTCGTACAGGGTATTTTTTTTTCGCACGGGTACGGGCGCTATGTGTGCCGAGAGGCACAAGTCAGCTTAGATGAATTCGAAGAGTCGGATGAGAGGATACGAGCCAGAACCAAAGAGGCCAAACCACCAGGGAGTCGTGCAGTGCACAGTTCCCAGTACTACGTTTTACTGTTTCACGTTCCAGAGCACTTGTGTGTCCAAGGGAAGAAGCAGAACCTGTAGAGGCTGGTCAACAGAGCCTTGCCTGCAACACTTTCGAGTGGAATGCAAAGAATGTGGTGGTCAGGTGGTGTCTTGTCATGCCACACGGTGCAGTAACAGCAGCTTCCGCTTGTCATTTTGGAACTGCTGCCATCGAGCACACTCTCGTCACCTCCCCCCTTCGAGGGGGAGGCGTGAGACCTCGAGGCACTCCTTTTGCCTTCGTTAAAGCCCTATAGTATCTTGCTCTCTGCACGATTTCGTGAGCTTGACCAACGATCCCAAAGAGCCTCCACGGTTTGCCCTCTGGGCAGCGGCGCCAGTGCTGGTCAACTGTGCACCCCGTGCTGGATCTTCACTTCAGTTTTCACAGCCCCGAGGAGACATGAGCCAGCCCTGGTTCGTGTTGTGTCTTTTGTGGGTTTTGGGTTTGTTTTTTTTGGTTTGGTGTTTGGGTGCTTTGGTTGCTGTGCTCTTTTCTTGTTTCTGGCTCGCATCTTCTCAGCTATCTCTTCGAATTCATTCAAGGTGACTTGTGCCTCTCGGCACTTGAGGCGTTCCTCCTGAACTGCCCGTGACTATTGTGGAGGCCAGTGACGTGGCAATGGCAAGCGGGCCACCCCTTCACCCATAGACTCTTAGCGAGGGAAATGCGTCGCGCGCCCGTGGTGGAGAAGTTGCATGTGCAAGAGGGCGCGGAGCAGCATTTCGGAGTGTCGGCACCGCGCATTGTAATAGAGGGCCCGAGCGGTACCGAAGCGTTACCGAGACGGCGCCGCGGGCCCGAGCCGTACCGAAGCGGCGCCGAACCGGTACCGCGCATTGTAATAGAGGGCCTGAGCGGTACCGAAGCGGCGCCGCGCATTGTAATAAAGGGCCCGAGCCGTGCTGAAGTGGCACCGGTGGCCTTCATTTGGGGTCCAAAAACACTAGCAAAACCGGTCTCGCCACGGAGGGCCTCCCCAGTATGACTCAACACAGCAGATAAGACAAGGGCCTCTTAAGCCCGCTCAAGGCTAGCCGAAAACTCGTTTGAAAGCTTGCTTGAAACTTGCCCAGGCCAAACCTATGTCCAAACCAAAATTAAAAGTTCAAGCGGAAGTTCAATCAAAGCTCAGCTGCTGAGAATCAAAGCTCGCGCAAAAGTCGTTTCCCGTGGCGTGAGCGTCGTGGTGATTTCGGTGCTAGTTTATTTCGAGCTAAGCTCGCAGAAGGCTCGTGAAAAGCTCGTGCGCTTCGATCCAAGCTCGCGCAAAGCTCGCCCAAAACTCGCTGAGCGGGCGCTTCCCTGGTTTTCCTAGCTCCTTGAGTTTCGCTTGAGCTTTCCTTTGGACTTGTGAGTTTTGCTTGGACTTTGCCTTGAACTTTTGAGTTTTGCTTGGACTTGCCTGGTGACAGGTGAGTCTTGGTTGGACTTTTGAAGTGAGTTTGGACTTTCTTTTAATGTCTTTAAAGTTATTTATAAACCCCCTTGTCTTATCTAGCCATGTTGAGTCATAAGTCGAGTTGATCTTGGTTTGAACTTGAGTGGAGCTTGGTTCGCTTGATTTGTTGACGGTTGATCAACTGGGAGATCATCATTGAGGACAGGAGTTGAGACCTTAATTGTTGTCTGATCCGTAGTTGTCCAGAGAGAACGAATGGAAGAAGAGAAGAAGAAGAGAGAAGGCGGCGCCATGTGACCCAAGAAGGGGTGTGAAAGATAGCGTGTAGCCTGGATGTACAGGATGTGGATCACCTAACCTAGTGCCTGTTTCTTAGGTAGATTTTCGTTTTTGATGACTTGGGGTTGGAGCTGATTTGGGTTCTTGGTCCTTTTGGTGTTTCTGCTTTGACCGACTTAGCAGTAGAAGGTCTGATGTGACGAGAAGCGGCCAGAAGCAGCGTAGAGAAATATCTGGTAGAGCTGTGTATAGTTTGAGATAGCTTGAGATTGTTTGGAGATAGTTCTTTACCTTTTTGGTAGGTATGAGACTGTGTTTTCACAAACACCGCGCCTGCAAATGGTCCAGCAGGGGACCTTGACATTTTTGGGCAGAAGCGCTGACAAATGCGCGCAAAGTGGGCCTTATGTCGCCTTTGGGTGGATGATGGATGTGGATGGGTGGATGGATGGGTGGATGGATGGTTGGATGGATAGGACAGGAAAAGGCGCTTGCAGTTTTCACATGCCCGCGGTCCGATGTTGTGAAAGTCGCTTGGGAGACAGAGGTTTTCAATGCCAGCACCGCAAAATGCGCCCTCAGGCAGCGCTCTAGACTTGTTGGTTTGGTCCATGGCAAAAGTGATGGATGTGAGCGTGAGACAGCTTTCGAAAGCATATCGGCCCAGCTGTGCCCCTGGTGCAAGGACATTGCTGTCATCTGCTTCTTTGCCGATACCGACCTTACTGAGGGAGCAGCACTCCGCAAACACCCTTCGGCTGTACTGGACACAGCCCGGGGCCATGAGAAGAAAGGAGGGGATGGACGGACGGACGGACGGATGGATGGATGGGTGGATGGATGGATGGATGGGATGGATGGTTGAATGGATGGGTGTGGAGATGTGGAGATATGGAGATATGGATGGATGGATGGGTGGATGGACGGATGGATGGCAGGATGTGTGGATGGATGGATGGCTGGATGGCTGGATGGGCGGATGGGTGGGTGGATGGGTGGGCGGATGGGCGGATGTGTGGGTGGGCGGGTGGGTGGGTGGATGGGCGGATGGGTATGGGCATGGGTGGGCGGTGGGTGTGTGGATGGGTGGGTGGGTGGGCGGATGGGTGGATGGATGGATTGTAGGGGTTGCTTGGTGGTGGGGTGGGTGGATGGATGGATGGAAGGAAGGATGGATGGATGGATGGGTGTATGGCTATGGATAGATGGATAGATGGGTGGGTGGTTTGGATGGACAAACGGTGGCATGGATGGGTGGGAACATTAGTTGTTGTTTGCGTTAAATCATTGTTTGGAGGGGTCCACCCACTTGTTTTGACACACCGTCCCATTATGCAAATCTCTGCATTCCAATCAGTGCCTTGACCTGGAACAAAGAACCTCTCTCATGCCTTTCAGGTTCTGGCTTAGACAACCTCCACGCCTTTTTGGCCATTCAGTGTGACTTGACAAATGATTGGCCTGTAAATTTCGAGGTTTGATTTTGTTGAGTTTCAAGTGATGGAGAAAATCGCAAGGGCAGACTGCAACGCACGGAAATTGAGGCGAAGTGTCGTTCCTCTGGCCTGCAGTGTGCGGCTATTGATAGAAGGATCTCGCCTTTCAGGCAGTTACCCTGACCAAGAGCGTGAACTTTGGGCATGTTGGGGGGGTCTTCCTCGAGGAACTGTTCTGGGTGACCTTGTCCAATCGCATACTCTTGAACTCAGCTCAATACCCAAATAATGCCCAGGCAGCAGTTGCGCGGCAACTTTTTCCAAACTCTAGATTCTCTAGATAAACTTTTGGCTGGCATCTCATGAGTGGGTGCGGGGAGTGTGAAGTTGTGTTCATTGTTGAGTTGAACAGAGAGACGGCAAAGTCAAAAAACACATGCCAAACGCGGATGTTTGGCCAGGCGCGCCGTGGTCCTGAAAGGGTCCTTGGAATCGACTTCGCAGCTGTTCGTCGTTCACAACTTGTTCTTTCAGCAGTAGTGATGTCGTTCCTTTTTTTTACTGGTGTGTTTGACAATCAGGGAACGCGAAAGTGATGATTGTGGGATTGTGGGATGGATGGAATTTTCATTCATCCAGGCACAGTGCTGCAATGATGAAATTAAGTTTGGCAGGATTTCGAAAGGTTGTAAGTAAATGCGGTTCTTCAATGAACATATGTGGTGCGGAGGTCATGGTTTTCTTTTGACCTGGGTAGACCTGGGGCTTGGTCAAAACCCTTTGGGAAGCTGCCTCCATGTTTAAGGAAATCTAAGTTTTTCCATGGCAGCGACCGAATTCCAAAGGACTCTTTGTGATGGAGTTTGGAAACCATGTTGACAAATTCCTACCAAAAATCTGAAGTGCCCGGCGTTCTTGCTTGTGGAGGAGAGTGGCATGATTGTGGCTCAAAGGAGGTTTCATTCAATTTATTCAAGCATTGTAGATGGCTGCATACTCAAAGACCGATCCGCTTGGGTCAAGCAAACTAGTGACACGCACTAGCCGACCGACCAAAACTCAGGAGCTCCAGCTGTTCACACGAACACGAACAGGACATCGAAAGAAGTCGACATCTCCTGCCATCCATTCGAAGCCAGTCGACTCAGCTCGACCGACTCAGATCTTTGCCAACCAAACCCGCAGTCCAAAACCAATCCCAGTTGGGACCTCTCAGGACCCGCACCTGTTGGGGGCGTCGCCCCGAACGAACCGAACCCCGCCACCGGACGCCGAAGCACCGCCTCCATGTCGCCGCCTCCCGACCTCGCAGACCGCTTCGAGGCGCCGACCGTGTCGGGGCTCGGGAGGACGTGCCTTCCAGCTGCTTCCGGCTGGATCTCTCCACTCCTACGTCAACAGGTCTCCAGACAGGGCACCCCGCTAGGTACTGCGCTCGGTTTGGGGTGTCTTGTTTGTTTTTTTTTCGCTTAAGGACAAGGTTGGTTTCGGTTCTGACTGGTCGATGTTTGGCTCTTCGTTTCGGACGGAACGGCGCTGACCGGACCAGACCGGATGGATGCGACCGGAATTGGGGGTTGAAGACGTGCGGTCGTGAAGACGTGCGGTCGTGATGGTTGCGGCCTCGTTCTCTGAAAACGGAGTCGGTCGTTTTCTTCAAAGCTTGGAGTATTTTGTTTGGTTGGGATAGTACAGTAACCCGTTTGGCTGTTGGATCTTGAGATGCATTGCTTCAAACATATGGCTGTGAGTCAAAACCTAAAGCCCCAAACCCTGGTAGATTGACCTGTATTCTGTTCATTTTTGGTGGTCAACCAAGGTCTCTGGTTTTGACCCAGGTCCATATGAGATTCCCGTATTTCCAGCTGAACGAAATCGCCCCTGGAACTAATGGAATTGGATTCCAAACCACCTCTACTTCGATCAATGATTGATCTACTTCGGCAGCTACGCATGACAGATGTATTTTGGTTCAATTCTTTGCTATATGCTCGATGAGTAGAGTAGCCATGCCCCACTCGAAAGGTTTCTCCCAAAACTGCCAGGAACTCGACCAGAGTCAGGTCCAAATAAAGCCTGTGAACTCTCAATTCCTTTATTTCTATTTTCTCTGGTGGTGCTTCTTCGCCATCTACGCGACGTGTTCATTCAGAGGATCTAGATCTTGGGAGGGACATGCTACCATACTCTGTAGGTGGCTAGTCACCAAGAGTAGTGGAAATTCATGATGAATTATGATATCTTTTATCAATAGGATGTTTCCGAACCTTTGGCCAATTGGAAGTCGTTGTGAGCGTTGGGCCGACTGTTTTGTCGTGTGGTGCTCGGTGTGTGTTAAGCAGCTGGTGCTCGTTTGCTTGGTTCGTTGGTTCGTTGGCACTTGGGAGGTCGAAGATGACAAGGAAGATGATGGCAATCTGAGATTTGGATTTGAGGCTCCGCTATCTGCTTCGCGTGCGGTTTCTTTCTTTGCAGCGGTTTGGGGGGAGAGTCAAAGGGGCTCTTGAGGCGTGCGTTTCAAGGGCAAATCACAAGTGGTATGTGTGGATGGACTTTGGATGCAGCTGTCCAGACTTTCTTTTTTTTCAACCTATTGATATAAGTAGACCGCTACAAGATTACGCAATGGCGAAGAAAGGATCCGAACTGGCAGTTGAAGATTTGCCCCTTCTCATGCAACCCTCCTATCGAAGACTTGGCGCTTGGTTCTTCTGCGCTGCTCTGCGCTCTGAGGAGGGTGAAGATGCTGAGTACGATGACTGGAACGACTACCTTGAGGAGCCTGGCTGGGCGTGGCATTGCCGGACCTCTCCTTTTTGGGATCACGAATGGTAATCATCTGGGACTCCTCCCGGTGACGCGCCATAAATAGGACTCTGGTTACACTCCATCGGCAGGGTGGCTTTCCAGGTGCATGTTTCCGGACTCTTCACCTGACTCCTACAGCCTTCTTGGCAGCGCCTAGCCGCACCAAAACACGCCCGCGCCGCCCTCTGTGCCTGCTTGGGGGGTGTGGTCTTGGGGTACGAGGGTGATCCATGTGATCAATGAGGTGGCGCGACGTGGCCAGCGACGTGGCCTCCCCGCGTGGCCTCCGTTTTCATGGACTTGCGGAGGAGGATGACGAGTGCGAGGATTGGGAATCCTGCTGCAGCTCCAGTGAAGGTGGGTCTCGAGATGGATGTTGCGGCTCGAAGCCTTTGTGTGTGAGAGTGGGAATGCAGAGAATCCAGAGAAGTGATCGGCAATGAATCCTTGACACGCACGCAGCGACCCATGGGTCAGAGCAGAGTAGGATATTGAATAGCATTTTCTATCAGCTACTTCACCTTTTTGTGCCGAAATTCACTTCTAAAGTTCGATCAACCAACTCCTTCCTTTTTCTGCACCGGAATACGCCGACCGAAGACCTCCCCCGCTCGGGGCGGGGTCCGCCGACGTGGCACCGCGCCAGCCGGCTCCGAAAGCTTCCGGCTGTGGCCCGACCCCTACGACGAGGGCACCGAGGCACGGAACTGGTCGGTGTTCAGCCCTAAGGCTCCGTGACCCGGGGTCAGGGAAAAAAAGGTCACCTAAATAAGTACAATCTCTGTGGATGTGTGGCGGGGGAAACGTGGAAGGCTTCTTTTGCGCGTGAGGGCGAAACGTAGGACAGGCAGGCTTGGACGGTCCAGCTGCGCTGGACGGTTGGAGACTTAGGCTGGCGCACGTGCGCCAGCCCTGGATGAGCGAAAGGATGCTCTCGATTTCGGTCCATGCCATTTCAGGATGAAGGCATATTGAAAGTATATAGGTTCTGGAAGGGGTTTCAGCCAATGAGATAGGTGTCCTCCACTCCTTGAGACCCTTCCGCTCATGACCTCACCCATCCTCCGTCTTCCCTTCAGATGCTCCAGGCGTCCAGTGCTCCAAGGACCGCTGCGATCTGCAGACGTTGCTTCCGTACCACGTGGGGCGAATCGGTCAGTCTCGGCTGCAGATGGTTGCGATTCGGTCCGTCTCGTCTGCAGATGTTTCTTTCTTCTCCGGGGAGTTATAAGAGGAAAACTCTTGAAGGCAATAGATTCATCATGGATATCCCATGACGCAAAGGGGTTCTTGAATGCGGGTTCCCAAGGATTCCACCCAAGAAGTCTTGGGGAGTCACTTTTGGAGCGGTGGGAGTCCAGAAAGTCTCAAGCACAATACCAAGAACCTCGGTACTGAACATGTGGGGGCGGATCCGGTTGCGGCCTCCATGGTTTTCCGGTCTTACAACGACCACCTCATCTTGGCCCCTCGTCCGTGCGCGTTTTCGCGCGTCGAGGACCCCGACACCGAGCTGCATCGCCGAACAGCAGGCGCGGAAGCCGCAGGTGGTTGGGACTCTTTGTTTGTCCTTGGACTTTCGGCTCCTCCTTATGGGTCTCAAGAGGTGTGACACGCTGGGGAATCACCAGGAACAGGCAAAATTCCTCTATGAAACGAGAGGGCTCTATGAACTGGGGAACCTCTTAATCATGCTTCGTGCTTCGTCCAGTCCCGGCTGTTTGAAGGGATGCTTGGCGCATCCATTCAAATTGGGTTGAATGGATTCTTTTGGGCAGAAATGTATCTCAACCTGAGAGCTTATGATAGACCTGTGCCATGAAGCTTTAGACAATGAGTTGGTGTGGGTCTTTCCAGACCTGGTGTGGGACCCGCTAAGAGGAGGATCCTCAGTGCGTTTGGCTCCCTCAGAGGCAACCCTGGACTCTGCACCCGCCACTCTGACACTGCATGGCCTCCTGGCAGGTCTTTGACACGAGCGGCCTACAATGGCAGGCGCGCGCGGCGCGCGCGGCGCGCGCGGCGTGCGGCGCAGAGGGTTTCGCTCGGTTTGTGCCACAGCGTGGTGGCCGGACTCAGCCCGGATTTTTCCCGGAGCGGGGCCGGCCTGTTTTGGTGGGTTTTTGGAGGGCTTTTCGGACTTCACCACAATGGCATGGGCCCCGGCGGGGTGAGCGGTCAGCGCTTGGGACAGTTGGAGATCAAAGATGTTGAATCTGATTTCTCCCAACTCAATGAAGAGTACTGGAGTGGATGGAACACCAGACCTTTCCAAGAGGTTGCTTAAGTCATTTCTTTTGTTTTGCTGGCATTTTCCATTTTCAATGGACATCAGCATGACTGGGGGAAAGGTAGATGGCCTAACTAACGATACGGTAGGCACGGAGACTCGCATCAAGGTAGCATGCAGATTAATCAGCGAAGATCTCATCGAGAACTCTAAAAGCCTACTCTGTAGAACAATGGTGATGTGTGTAGGTCATCCCCATCTGTCCAAGCTTAAGTGCTCTCCTTAGGGGGTAGGCAACTGTTTCAGTTAGCAACGTGATCGCCACCCACCCTCCCATGCCTCCCATGCTTTGTGGCCCCTATCACCCAGTGGCACGAAACAGTCCGAGCGATCACCCCAGGCCGGCTCGCTGTCCATTGGCTTAAAGGCCCAATCCAGATGGGGGGTTAAGAAGAGGGGGGCAGGAGGGAATGGTCTTCAAAACTTGCAAGTTGATTGCGAGCTGTGGAGTTGTTGGAGAGCCGTCATGGCCTGCAGAGGAAGCAAATCCCTTTCAGTTGCGCAAGAGGCAGGAATTTAGGACGCCTCCTTCTCCCTGATGAAAGCTTCAGCGGCGTGTCTCCACTTTTGCATGGAAAAACGGATGTTTCGCTTTGCAGCAGGTCGTGTGCTTATCGCAACCACCTGCGGCCAGCGACAGTGATGAGGTGTGATCTGCGGGTTTGGGTTTGGAACACCCTCATTCATGGGACAAGTTGCCTGATTTCGTAGGCTGTGACATGACTGGACATTCCATATCTCCAACACTACTTTGTTGGACTAACGATTTTTTCATTTTTTTTCTTATCTTTAGTCAGCGGAATGCCGACCGTTCTTTCTTTTCCAATTTCAGGCTGAACACCATGCAGAGCTGCAGTAATGTTCTTGTGATGTCCTGTCCCTTTTATTTGTTTGCTTGTTTGACAGAGTCTTTTTCGCTATTCGGACGCCCCAAGAACGACGTTGTTGGTGCCGAATTTGTGAGAACGAAGTAACCTGTGAAGACCGTGCCCCTCCTGCGCCGTGACCACTGGACTAGCAGCGAAACACGAACTTCGCAGTCGCTGCGGAGGCGGAGGGTGCACCCCTGAAAGGGGATTTTCGCTGTGCACCGCCCGGCGGCCTGAAGAAGCCAACGATGTTTGGAAGATTGGAAGATGAGCTGTTGGCCTGTTGGCTTCGGGTGCTCAGGTCTGTGAGGTCTCTTCCCAAAGGTTTCTGTTAAAGAGATGCGCATTGCACCATATCCGCTTCGGACCCTGTTTGCATCCTTCCGCGGGCGAAATCCGGTCTTCGTTGCGGCCGACCTTGGACCATCCAGATGAGCTCAAGTTCCCCGTGTTCGATGGAGGCAGCAGATGCCATCGAAACCGAGGAGTCGAGTTCGAGTTCGGTAGTCCTGCATTAGATAGAAAGGCGCTTACAGCAGTTTGGAAGGTGGATTATTTTTTAACTTCGAAAAATACATGTCAGAATCTTCTCCACCAGCAGGATAAGACACTGCTGGTCGATGGGAACACACCATAGCAGTGGAAGAAGGCTTTTCATTGCCGTGCCTTTCCGGGCCGTGCCTCCAATACGACACCCACCTAGGCCATCCTATTGGCAGCGACTCTATGCGCAGTTCCAGGCAGAGTTTTTGATTTGATTGAACGCAGCGTGGGGGGTGAAGTGTTTTCTTTCTCCAAGCGTAATGCGTGATAGCCATTGATAGCCAACAAAATGCATGAGAGTGGATTGAATCAGAGTGACTGATCCTTTGTGCTTTTGGAACAAAGAGATGGATGAAACTTGCACATCTCTCAAGAGTTCTCTCACCTCGGGCCCATGGACGAGCTGGGCCCGTCACTGGACGAAGGCATTCGAAGAATCAGATCATCACGGACTTAACTCAGAATCCTCTGAATCCCATGAGCCAAGAACAATATCAGATCATCACGGACTTAACTCATCTTTGCATCCCAAAATCTGGGTCTCTTTGACCAACTTCCGTGCCCCGCCCCCCCCGCTCGCTGCGGGTCCCTCTCGCAGGCCGCAGAGCCCGCCGAGCCGTGGCCGATGGAAGTTCCGGCCGAAGTGCGCGCGCCCCGACCGGTGCCGCAAGGCCTGGAGCCGGCGGTCGGTGGGGCCAGTGGAGTGGGGTGGCTTTCGGGGGATGAGGTGGTGGGGTGAGGTGGGATGACCATGGAGGGAAGATCTCGTTCCGCTTCGAGCGAAGAGGGGGAAGCACCTTTGGTATAGTGGATTCCGTGGACGAAGGAGAATAGTGCGGAGAAGATCAAAGGCATCCGAGAGAAGAGATGGTGACTGGTAGATTGGCTTTTGGGAATGCATCCTGAGCACTCCTGACCTGCAATCTTGGGAAGGACTCATGAGCTTTTCGATTGGAGATGCTTCGGCACTCCTTGGAATGCCTCATGATTGCCCACTCAATGACCACCTCCTTTTCCACGCCAGCTCCCAAACAAGATCCACTAGCCAGAACTCCAGCTCCGACCCGAAGCAGAACCGCCGTCCACTCCAGGCTTTGACCCAGGTCTCCCACCCTCCTCAGCCCACCCCGCCCAGTCCTCCGCACCCCAACGGATGACCGGGCAGGTGACTTCCGGTGCTGTCCGGACTCGTATTGGGTGCGGGACACCAAAGGAGGAGACGGGGAGGACGGGGAGGACGGGGAGGAGGAGACGGTGAGGAACCCCGTGGAGGTTGCTCCTCCCTCGGCGCATGGCTCGTTTCAAAGGAAGTGAAAGGGGTCTATCCGATGTCTGAAAGCCAGGTGCTTTAGCTGTGTTTTTTTGCAGTCTCCTCGGCCCCGGAACATGTGGTGCTTGCGCATGTGCAAGCTGGGAACCCCTGCATTGGCTCCATGGCTGTTGTGAGCAAAAGGGGTTGATAGATAGACAAAGTGACTTATTGCAGTAACAACGGAATGCATTGAAGAGAGTTTCATTACATCCTGGGTGCCAGATCTTGGTTCTCAACTTGTAACATAGCAGGGCCTCTATTTTCAACCAGGAGCCAGGTTGGGGTCTGGATTTACATCGTTTCTGCACCGGTCTATCCTCGGCGCGCCGTGGTCACCTGGTCCATCCTTGGCGAGATGGGTGGCACCACGTGGTGCCGAGCTCGCCCACGGCAGCTGGAGACGCCCAGGCAGCTTTCCACCAGAGGGTACGGCCCGCCGTGCGTCGTGCGACGACGGGTGCCTCGTGGGACGGCCGGGCCGGACGCGGCGTTGGATCCTCCTCCGCCGAGGGCCCAGCGAAAGGCGACCCTAAGTCGCAGGCCTTTGGAATCCTACGGGGGATCTATATCGTTCCCAATGTTTTTGGGGAGGGTTCTGTCACGTGCCCATTGGTGGGGTGATTGTGGAATTGGTACAGTTTTCTCGCGGTTTCCTCCCGGGTTGGAGACCTTTCTTCATCTTTTTCTGGAACATCCCAGCAGCCTTCCATTTTCTCCGGATCTTTCTCCGTCTTCTTCGTTCAAAGCTCCGGATTCGGACAGAGGATGGATGGTTCTCGAGAAGATGTTCCGAATCCATTTGGATCGTTGTTGGATGGCAATCTCCAGGTGTGTGGTTGGGTGGAACCCCCTTGCGCAGGTGCTTTTTGGTTGGGTAAACTTATAACATGTTCCAGAAGGGATTGTAATGTTATATTCGTCCGTAAAGCTTTTGCCTACAAAGGTTGGGAGATCTTTAGCCAAGTTCGCCCCAACTGTTTCATGCAACGAGTTCCCACCAAGTGGTTTGAAGAACTCCCCGAAAAACCCCGTCAGAAGACCGGTGTTCCTCCCACTGGGTCGAGGAAAACCCCCCCCCTAACCGGTGGTTCTTCGTTTCAACGAGGGTTCACTTCTCACCAGGCCCTGGGGGTCCTGGGTCCGGGGGTCCGTTCTTTCCCACCCGAATGGAACGGAACAGACGATCATTACGGAGGGTGGAGAAGCTCCTGGAAGCGGCCTGGTACGTGGCCGCTGGGGAGAAAGACGCATCTGTTGGAGTCTTGAAGTTTGGGGGAAGTTTACGTGCACCATCGAAGAATGAACAACACCGAGGCTCAGGGGTGAGGTTTGGAGCAGATTTGTTGGGTGGAAGGTTGGGTCTGCCACCAGGCCTCTCTGCAGCCCTTGCTTCGGGTGGTTCTTCACCAGCGCCCGCCCTTTCCCGCATTCTCGGCTCAGAGGACCTTTTTCATGTGAAGCAAAGAGACTTAGCCGACGACGCCCCCGTGACCTTCTAAGGTTTCTTTTCGCCAGGAGGACCCCTGGGTGACTTTTGGGTGACTTTCTCCCTTCTTGGAGCAGTGCGGCACTACTCCCCCCGGACAGAAAGGAGGAGATGAGCAGACCACTTCCTAAGACTATCTAAGACTCCTAAGACATCCAAGCAAGCCGAAACGACTTGCCGACACCGTTCGTCATACCGTTCGTCATGAACCAACCAGTCCCCGCAGAGCCAGACTGGAGGTCAGTCAAGGGTGGAGGGGTGGAGGCTTTGGGGGAGGAGGCACTGCTCCAAGTGAGCGAATGAAGGACGTTTCTTTTTTAAATACAAGGGTATAGATCAGAAGGAATCTTTCGCCGCTCCTTCTCTTGTCAAGAACTACTGGAGCTCTCCAAACAAGTGATGAGACAAAACCTTGCGGGGTGGATCTGGAATGGATTGGATTGATGAGCAAAGCTTGGTTCTAAGAGGGGTGGATTTGGGATCATTCTGACGATTCCTTTCTCGCGCGTGAGGATGCTACCCCTGCAACTCCACTTCGCACCTACATCCGTCTGACACACAGCCTGGTCCGTCACACAGCCAGGTGTCACATGGCTGGGTCCAAATTGGTGGACCGACCGGTTGACCACCGAAAACGAGGGTCGCATGGGGGGAGATCAACTGACCAGGGTGAGTTCCAGGGTGCTCTGACCCACATGTGGGCCAATCCGAAAAAGAAGGGCACTCAGACGGTGGGTGACACCGGTGAAACCCTTCAGTCTTCGACCCCCAAAGAGACGTGCCGATCGCACCCGATCTCGGGACCTGAATCCGGGGTGCCGACGGAGGTCGACTGATGCATCCCCGACCACAGCCCTGTGGAGCCCTTTGGTATGCATCTCACTCTTGTAATCTTGGGTCAACTATCCATCTTCTTTGGGTCAAGATTGCAAGAGTTTGGTCTAAGTCTCCATCAATCTCCGGGGCAACCAAGCCAACAGGTACCCATCCATCTTCTTTGGGACACTGTTGGGTTGATGGCCCCCGAGTCCCTTCTTCGATCCGACCGTGTTCCGGAGAGTTCCGACCGAACGGAGAGTTCCATCAGACACCCCCTTCCCACCGGCACCCCACTTGGGGTCTCCTGGTATGAGCTGCTTTTTGGTTTCCCCCCACCAACCATCCGGACGTTCCGCTTGAAACCAGCCCGCTGGCTGGAGGCGAGCACGGCGGAGCTGTAGACAAACGAGCTGAGAAGCAGCAGCTACTCGGAGGAAGACACGAAAAGCATAGGCACGACAGTTTGGCCAGATTCGGGCCAGTCATATCATGAGAACGTCTTTTTCTATCCATGTACATTTTTGGGCAGTAACAATATGAGAAGAGGAACCAGCGCTCAGACTACGAGACATGCAGTTGTACATTTTTTTGGGCAAACCCACGTGTGACCGGTCATAAAGGGCATACAGAACGACGCGAGGTTCTATGGCCGTGTCCATTTCCAACAGCCGGGTGGTCATCGCTTTGCCACACGATCATGTATTAATAGTGTGTCATGTGACTAACTCATTCTGACAGCAGCCTTCATGGAGACCAAGCCCTTCACTCCGCACGGGGTTTCTTCCTTGTTTCGGCTTTGGGAAAGGGGCAGGACGGTCCCACAGGGACCTACCCCACCGGTCTCGTCCGGTCTGGTCCGAGAGGAGCGGAGGAGCTTTGCTTTCTTCCACGTCGGCATGGCCAGTGACCTCGGAATGACGCTGGTGTGGGTGGCACCCAGACACGTTGGTTGAGCCGGGTCACATGAACAGAGGAATCTCTCAACCTTCCGGGGTGTCAACCTTCCATGGGTTTCGGTGAGGTTGGGGGGCACTGAGAGACATGCCCAAACTGGGGCTTGCCAAAACGTCCTGAACTTCGACTGCTTAACATCCGGTCATCTTTGCGGCTGGGTGCCTGGCCCGACCTCTTCCGCTGCCCGACCTGCGATCCCGCTGCGGTTCAAAGTCTTTTCGCGTTCTCGAACGTGAAGAGATACATGTGGACCAGTCATTCGCAGGGTTTTTGATTGGGGAAAAAGCGACATAGGGTCGTCAGGACCTCCTCTTTTTGGTCGGTTTGATTGCAAACGTGATGTTCTCAGCGCCGATGTGGCGCGTGATCTCTGATTCGCACATGGTCGGTTAAGCTGATTTCAGCAGCCCACCAGGTTGATAGCCAGTTGAATGACTAGATGTAGCTGGTGTCGTGCATTGGTGATTGAAAGAAGAAACCGGGACGTTGTGGCAAGCTGTGGCAAGTTGCCTGTGGACCCGGAACGGCAGCAGGCGCAGCAGGTGAGTCTTCGAATCCACCAGTCACCCGTTTTCCAATCAACTGAAGTGGATCACGAGCCTGGAAGAGTTCTCCTGCTTGTCGCAAGCCAACGTTTGCACTGAGCAGTACAATACTGTACATTATATATTAATTATATGCACAGTATTTAATACAATACTAATATATACATATCGCTTTTTTGGCATCAGTTTTTTGTTTTCTTCTGCAAATTGTGGTTTAACCCTTTGCCCCCTTTTTCGGAGGCTGACCAGCCACGCCCATCGAGGCCACGCATTTGCCGGTCATCCGGCCAGAGAGCCCCGAGTTCCCCACCGTGGCGCCCAGACGCCCAGAGAGAGAGAGAGAGCTCTGTTCCCAATGGGGCGGCGGCGACGATTAGAGAGGCGGTGAAGCACGGTGCCCGTAGAGCCAGCCTGTGGGCTATGTCGTGTGCGCTCGCGTCCGGTCGCCGTCCGGTCCCGGTCATCATGGTGGTTGGGTGTTGGGCCTTGTTGGACCTGGGCTTCTGCAGCACCGGATGCGGCTCGGTGCCTTCAGGGGGGCCCCCTCCCGTCCAAGGGTTTGGACCTGCTCGCCCGGACACTCCGTCTCCTGATCGATCGGAACGCCGAGGCGCAGCCGTGCCTCGAGTGGTGCCGCGCTGGCGCCCTTGGCGCCGCCGTGCCAACCACGGGGGTCTCTGCAGAACGTGGGAGCCTTGGGCGTCGTCACGGAGGGGTTGGGGAAGGGACGGGCGAAACGGGTGTGGTGGGTGAAAGCCAGAGATGATTCTGAGGAGGAGATGTTTGAGAGTCTTTGGGTTTGCTCAGGTACCTCTAGATCTACCGAGGTCGTCCGTTCGTTGTAGCCTGGGGACGTGGAGGCACCACTTACTCGTGACTTGTCTACTTTTCACGTTGGCAAGATCCTGTGGTCTTCCAATGCCGGTAGACAAGCAAGGTTGCTGGCCAATGTAAAATGGGGGCTGGGCTACGCCAAGCGATGTTCCTTGCCAGGTGATGGTGAGTTGCCAAACGAGTGGTGCATCGTGTGTTTTTCGCCCAAACCCCGAGTGCCTTCAACCCTGGAACCAGAATAATAGTAACAGCAATAAGAAGCAGAAGAAGAAGAAGAAGAAGCAGAAGAAGAGGAAGAAGAAGAAGCAGAAGCAGAAGCAGAAGCAGAAGGAGGAGAAGAAGAAGACCTACACAACTTGGTACCCTGTGACCTACCTGCACACCACCGTGGTCCACCGTGCTCCACACTGTGTGGGCAGGCGCCCCCCCGGCTCTTGTACCCTACCCATGAACCAACGCAGCCACGCAGTGGTGTGAAGGGCTTTGTTCCAACAAGAACGTTTCATCACTCTTTTTGTGGCAGGTGCCGTGGCAGGCCTGTTTGATTCACGTGATGATTGTGGTACATCATTGTGGTGTTTGTGTCCTTTGCTTATGTGCCAGAACTGCTCATTGATTTTGCCTGGCTACTCTTCCTAGCTTGCAAAGAGCAAAAGTCGCTATAGGGCGGACATAGTACCACTTACGACATGCGTATAAGCTGCTGCACTCTCACTCTCTCTCACTCTCTCACTCTCTCACTTTCTCACTCCCTCAATCTCACTGACACTCACACTCACACAGACCACCACCGCCGCCATCACCACGATCTCCACCTTCATCGCCACCATCACCTCTCTGGACCCCAATTCGTCTAGATCTCCAGACTTTCTGCTGCTACGCACTGTTTGGAGTTTTTTGCCGGGATAATTTTTGGGACAGGTGCCGCGGCAGGCCCGTTTGATTCACCTGACGATTGTGGTGCATCATTGTGGTGTTTGTGTCCTTTGCTTATGTGCCAGAATTGCTCATTGATTTTGCCTGGCTACTCTTCCTAGCGCTTTTAGTGACAGGTGTATGATTCGAAAAAGATTCTGCGGCGCTTGAGCAAGCAGCTTATGGCAAAACCAAACGATCTGCTGATGTATGTCTCGAAGCGCTTTGCGTGTAGTGTCAGGGACAGCTTTGGTAGAGTTGAAGAAGCGTTGGTGCTCCTTTATTCGGTCAAGCAAATCGAGGAACGATTGCTTTCTTCATCACAACCGTTTGGTGCAGGCAATACCACCATGGACAGGTAAGTTTCAAGTGTGGCTTGATGGTGTGGATGGTCACTCGACAACTATGTACGCAAGCGCCGGAAAAATGTAGCGCAATGCGTCGCGCGCGACAAACCTATAGCGCCCCAGGACGGCGTAGCAACCAATGGTCTTAGCTTGCAAAGAGCAAAAGTCGCTATAGGAACATGTGCTTTAATCTCGGAACCTTGACATGCGTTTCAGCTGCTTGGAAACCTAGCCAGGTCATCAAAGCATCACCAGCATCACGGGTATGGTGGGGTGGTGCGCGCTACAAAAAGGCAGCTTGAAAATAGGTTCCACCTCAGAATAGTGAGGAAAAGGTTGAGAAGATTCCACAACCAAAAGCCTCTTTCTGGACCTTCTGGAGAAGCAGTGTTGTTTCGATATGTTTTGATGTGCGTGGCCCACTGGAAGTGATTGGCCACTCCGCCCTTCAACAAAGCCCTCCAAGAACGACACTTGATGATGCATGTCGATTTGAACGAGGAAGGGATCTACATGATGGGTGCTGATGGGTCTTTACCCACACACGGACAGGGATCACCGAAGTCCTGCAATCAATCATTGCAGACTCCGAGGAATGTCTTGCTCAGGGAGATGCGCGGACGGATGGACGGATTTGCTCTACCTGGCCACTACAGCAAGGCCAAGCAAGGGAGAGTTGTCAGGCAAATGGAAAAGCGCTTCTTTGTGAAGTTAGTTTTTGAATTACTACATGCGTTCAAAAAAGCATCTCAAACATTATGCTGTAGTTTTGCGCCCGCACCTGGTACCTGCTGCTTGCTGCTGCCGGTTGCTGCTGCTGCTGCTGCTGTTGCTGGCGCGTTGCTGCTGGTTGTTGTTGCCGCTGCTGCGGCCAGGACATGTTGCGATTCCCGGCCAGGCCTTTGCTGCCAAAAGAGCCCCAGTTGTTTCTTTCACTAGCTTTCGCCCCCTTCTGGGCCACAAGTGCTTTAGTTTTGCGCCCGCGCCCTCGAGCTTCAACAGTGCCATGGAGATGTCCCCACTACCACAAATCACGCGCACACAACAACGTGAATGCGTACCGTTGCCAGGCAGCATCCTCTACTGACTGCCCAGACCCATGCAGCGTGCAGGGTCAAAAGTCGGGGGAACCGCAGTAACCGCGCACAATGTAACACCTCGGCCACGTGTGTCCTACTTCCATCTGGTGAACTGTCAGTCCCTGGATCTCGTTTTGTTGCCGTTGTCTTTCTTGTTACTGTCGTTGTTTGCCTCGTTGCTGTCGTTGCCGTAGTCACTGTGTCAGCGTCCTTGTTGTTCTTGTCGTTGTCGTCGTTGGTGGTGTTGTTGTTGTTGTGGTGGTTCTTGTTACCTTCGCGGCGCGCTTTCTTTTTTCTTCTTCGGCCTGTTCGTCTGCTCCATGCTCTTGTGTCTGTTTTTTGTCTTGGTGGTAACTGTTGTTCTTGTCGTTCTTCTTCGTCTTGTTCTTTTCGTTCTTGTTCTTGCGTCTGAGATCCATATTATTGCCGCGATGTTGGGCCATCTTGACCCAGCTCAGGGCCATGTTCAGCTCTTTTGTCCCATGTTGATGCGTCAATGTCTTAATCTGGAACTCTTATTCTTTCGATGTGCATCATCTTCCCATTTGCTTGACCCTTGAAGATCAAGCAGAAGAGCAAAACGCTAATAATAATGCAAGGCCGCTCGGGCAGCAGATCTCGCACCATGGGCCTTTGAAAACGACCTCGGCCATCAACATATCCATCTTGGAGCCATCTTGGAACTATGTCGAGGGATCTTGGTCTGAGATTCCACTATAAAATCAAAGGGGAAGGGGCGGGCTGCTTGTTTATAGATAAAAATCACCCCTAGGATTGAGCCATATATATAATCGTGATCATTAAAGCAGCCTTACGATAACTATAGTTTGAGACCGGATCACTGGTTGTTCAAAAGTGAGATCATGCCTTTGCATGGATTTGTGTTTTCCAATAAAGGTTTTTCCTTTTTTTCAGAAGAGGAGCGGACTTTATAGGGAACAAAGCTGCCAGTGTGAAATGTGGTTTCGATGTTATAGCACATTTTTTTGCTTGAACTTTTTATAGGGACCTGCATGGAAAACGACAGAAGATGATGATTATTATACAGCAAAGGTTGCTATTGCTTCAATTGAATCGTTTGCGGGATCTGTCGTATTCGTGTATCTTTTCGGCTTGGCGTCTTTCCGATTTCTTTGAGTTGACCGCTCAAACCAAAAATTACAATAAAATCAAAAGGCCAAGTCGCTCTGGCGCACAGTTTTTAGAAATCTGTTGTGGCTGTATCAGTATTTTATGGACCTGTGCATCCCATTCTATAGTGACCTCATTTGACTGTCGTGTGAGCTGAGGACACCAGGTTTTTCCATAATCGTATTTTACACTTTTCAATGTGTATGCGCGCTGCTGAAAATGACATTTTATAGAGTAGCCCTACCCCCCCAAAAACCCAACCCTGCAGGGACAAGTAGCAACGTAAATTCACACGGGGATGTTGAGTTTATGTTGAACGATCTTGGAACTCTGTTGATCCATCTTGGATTGTTTCTAAGAATATGCATCCATCCACGCTCTCCCCATGGGCCTGGGAGTTTCAGTGCGTCCCCTGGCTGCCTTAGCAGCCGCTGCTAAAGACCTCGGCGGTTGCTAAGAAAAGGTCGGCGGCTGTGGGCGCCTCCCCACCCCTACCTCCAGTAGGACAGACAAATTTTTCTAAAGTTGCTCCCTGCTTTGAGGCTGCTGGAGCTGAGCACAAGCAACCACAAAGTAGCTGCGAATCCAATCCAAAAAATGCTGTTCAACCTCGTAAAGAATTGCACATGTAAAGTTAATGAAACTGGGAGGGATGTCCCTGAGTCTTCCTACGACTTGGCCCCTGAAAAAATAAAGGTTGATGCTCACCCTGCAACATCTTGGCTGGCTGTGTATGGATGGAAAACACAGTGCCTTCGATTCCTGAACTTGGGCATTCTCCCTCCGCGCCCGGTGCGGCCCACTCTTTGAGGTTGCCAGTTGTCCCCATCTGCCCGCGGCAAAGGCGAATGCGTTTGTTCCGGTGGAAGGATGCACAGCGTGGTGTTTTGGGCCACATGGGAGGAACTGTTTCGTGACCGGGCTGAATGGGTAGCAGCTGCCTCACTTTGGGTTCCAACATTCGCGGATTATGCTCCAGTTTCTGTGTTCCAACATGTTGAGCTGAGTTGGTCGTGGGGACAGGGAAAGGAGATGCGGGGGGCCCAAACATGTTAATCATCATTATGTTGTTTTTCTTGTCCTGAAAGCATTGGAACACCGCACCAGCTGCATAGCTCGTGTCCTGGCTGCTGTTTCGGAACCTGTTGAACTTTCAACCAGCGATGTCCAAGGCCTGGACTGGACAGCTGGTGTAGCAAGGTAAAGTGGCCATTGAGTACCTTTTAGGTTAGAACGTTGCGAAGCTAAACTCTTTGGTGATTCCACTCCAACTCAGCTCCACGTCGTCGATAGTTCCCTTCAACATCTCAACAAGCTCCGGCCTCAGGTCTACGTCGTTTATGAATGTGTTTTGGTTTCAAGAGAACAATTTGTGTGCTAAAGAACCCCTGTTGGTTTGTGTTGCCATCTCCGTCTATATATATTTCGCACTGTATCTTCAAAGTGTTCGTTATCATCGCCCAATAGTTAGTTTGCTCCGTCCAAAACCCGCGGCAGGGTGCCCGAAAACGTGACGAAGAGGAGCGGGACAATGTCGCCATGATTTTCTGAGTGATAGTCTTTGATGAGTGGCGAAGAGTATAGAAGTGGTTGTCATTTTCAAAAACTCTATTTTCCTACATCATCACTTCTACAATAGGGAAAATGTTTGATTTGAACTTATATATATATATATATATTTGTTTTTTTTACACCACCGGAAAGGCCACAGGTTTCAAAGGCGCTCCTGTTACTCATCCCGTTTCGATCGCGGAGCTTTTTGAGGAACCTACAACCCAAACCTTTGCCCCGTCGGATCTCACCCGCAAACACGAAAGGAAGCCACGAATCGTTCGAAGCCGGCGGAGTTCCGGTCACCACCACCACCGAACTCGTTCGTTCGGATGACCTTTGTCATCCGAAGCCGTCACCGGTTCTGGCGGCCCTGCTGACCCCGCCAGAGATGGAGACAGCATGGTGCCTTCTCGGTCGCATGGTTCATCGTCGTTTCAGGCGGTCGCCACTCGTTGGTTGATGACAAGACCGCTGTGACGTCTGGAGGAGCAGGCTTTCCTGGCGCGGCAGCTCCATCATTCCGCGTCCCAGAACCGCAGGCAGAGGCGCACTGAGCCGGTGCGATGCGCGTTCCAAATCCGCGAGGGGACACTGATGGGACATTTGATTCTTTTCGGGTAGCCAGAGGATCAAAAAGGAGTCTAGGTCAAGGTCCTTTCCAAAACCGAAGAAACAACAGCTTGGAAGTTGATTGCCCAAGAATCAGGAAGCTCTCTGCTCGAAACGTCATTTTGGAAATTGATCGATTTGGATTCTGCAGTGAGTCTTAGAACGCTTTACACAGATTGTTTAAAGTTTACACATTGGCATAGGAATTTGATCAGATTGGTTTTCATGGTAGCTCACCTTTGTGGTGCTGCATGTCATGATTGCCTTCCTTTGATCTCTCTCTCTCTCTCTCCCTTTCCTTTCCTTTCTTTTCTTTTCTTTCCTTTCTTTTCTTTTCTTTCCTTTCTTTTCTTTCCTTTCCTTTCTTTTCTTTTCTTTCCTTTCCTTTCTTTTCTTTTCTTTCCTTTCTGTTCTTTTCTTTCCTTTCCTTTCTTTTCTTTCCTTTCTTTTCTTTTCTTTCCTTTCTTTTCTTTTTCTTTTCTTTTTCTTTTCTTTCTTTCTTTCTTTCTTTCTCTCTCGCGCTCTCTCTCTCTCTCTCTCTTATTACTTTTTTTGCCCCTGCCACTGCCGCCCCGGCGATTCGTGCGTGTGGTCGCGTCCCGCCCGAGTTCTTTTCCGGGACGGAGACACACCGGCGGAGGTCGATGGCGCAGCGGGACTGGCTGAAGCGGAGCCGCGAGGAGGAGGACACCGCCTTCTGGGGCTCCAAGGCGGGAGGTGCGCCGAAGGCGGCGGACTTGGGTGTCGTTCGCAGCGAAAAAAGCGTTCGAAAGGAAGCCGCGGAAGCAGACGTCGACGGGATGCGTTTTGTGTGTGTGTGTGTTTTGGCGCTTTTTCGGTGGAGACAGATCAGGCAGATCTATGGAAGCGTGAAACTACCTTGATGGGGTGTTCCTCAGTTGAAAAAGGAGCAGAGTCTCAAGATGTTCCCGTCAACTGGGAAACTGAGAATCACTCAAGTCTGGTCGCCACCCAGTCTTTGATCCCAGTTTTCCGAGATTTGACGCGCAAAGTGCCGGCTTTCAGCTCTTGACTGCATGCCAGGGGAAGGAAGGTTTCCGGACCTTCTTGCAGAAGAAGTTTGGGCTCGGATGCTCAGGAGTGATCGCTCTCTTAGTCTCATGGTTTGCTTGGTGCACCACGGCCGCCCTTGCGAGCTAGAAGAACCTTGCGGGCCGCCCTTGCGGGACTCCGAGAATTCATGGCTCGTTGACCTTCATTTGACAGCCAGACTAAAGGGTCCTGCAAAGTCCCATACGAGAGAGAGAGAGAGAGAGAGAGACATCGATTTCTCTGGGGTCCATCCCCAGCATGTCGGCAGCTGGCGGTTTTCTCGCGAAGGCTCCAACAAACTCTCCAAAGGCGGGTCCGTCCTGCCCCCCTGGAGGGTTCCGATCCAGTTCGCCTCAGGGGGATCCTCAAGGGCTGGCGAGCGGTGGACAGCCAGGCCCGCCTGCCTTCGGTATACGGGGGTTTCGGACGGCACCGGAGCGGGGATTGGGGCAGATGTGATGGCTGGTGAACATCGTGCATGAAGAGAGGAACAAAAGATTTGGCCGGGGGGGGTGGGTACTTCTCTAGATTCTATGGCTGTCCAGTCGACTGGGAGGCCAAAGCAACCCCTAGTCAGTTTCCCTTTCGATCCACAGGTCGCTTCGCTTTGCTGGGCAAGTGGTGACCGGAGGGTCAATTTCAGTTCCTGGCACCTCTGAGGTGCCGAACTGGGAACCTCCATGAACACAAGGGGCTGTGGACGTGCCACGACCATCCAACACCCTCTGGCGGAAACAGCGACTCGCCCCTCGGCCGCGACGCCGCGGCGAGGGCTCCGGCCGTTTGGGCTTCCACGAGTTCTGCCACGCCTGCCGCGTCCGTGGACCTAGCAAGCGCCCGGAGGAGTCTGGTCTGGTCATGGAACGTGCCCGTCACGGGGGAGATGCCCGAGTGAGAAAGACACCCAAAGAAAGGAACAGGACAAGATAGATGAATGCCTTAGCAATTATGCTTGTCTCCCTTTGCTCCAAGTACAGCTTGTTGGGGAGCTGGCATAACTTGTGTCAAATCATTTTTTTTAAATATTTTTTTAAAGTTTTTTTTTTTTTTTGTGTGTGTGTTCAATATTTGTTGTTTTTTGTTGTGTGTCAACAATATTTTTTGAATCACCCAACATGTTGGTACATATGTCATATGTTAAACAAAAAGCTATAATGCATCATCATCTCGAATCGTGCGGCTTGTCCCACGCACATATTTTTCGTTTAATATATGGCTCTGGTGGCTTTTGGCAGCTTCTGCCGCCTGAAGAGGTCAGTTCTTGAGGCCTAGAAAGCCAAGAATCAGACGTTGCACTTTTCCTGATTCTTGGTTCAGGCGTTCCACCCAGGAACCTAAGTCTACTTGCCAGGTGCTAGGTGTTCTCAATTTCTTGGTATTTATTGGTGCTGTCGCATCAAAAAGACACATGGACCCAAATCACCTGCGCTTCGTCGCCGCACCGGAATCACCTGCTCCATTGGGCCATGCCTCAAAGCCTTAGGCCGTGGGATTCCATGGGAACTTCAAGAAGCTTCCTCGCTGCACTGCGGGAACGGTCGTGCCGAGCCCGTCCGAGCTGAGAGCCGTGCGTTGGAGCCTGGTTCGTTTTGGCCTAAAACAAGCGCGGGAGGTTGATTTTGCCTATGGGGAAAACTCCTTTCTGAGGAGTTATATTTGTTTAGTCCTTATTTTTTCCCTGGGGTTCCTGAAATCCAGCAAATCCCCGTAAAGGACATTGACTCGGAGGGATGACTCGGTGGTGGGGTGCACTTGTTGAGAAGGCAGGCTGAGCTAGACCCAGTCAGGGGTACTGAATGGACTCAAAGAAGTTGGGAGCATGCGATGTGTGCCATATTGATATGTGTCACATTGTGTCACTATGCCGACTATGCCACTTGATTGTGTTCTGTGAGTCAGGACACCTCCCTCACCCAACAAAGGTAGGTTGACACCCCTTCCTACTTCATGACCCACAGCCATAGGCCATGTTCTCATGGCTCTTCCACACCCGTGAAGTGTCCTGCGTAGAGCGCCTCCGCACTCCGATCGGTGCCCATGTGTGCCCTTTGGTTTCGACGCGCCCCCTATGCTCTAAACCATGGTTTGGGGGGAGAACCCCAACTGTCCATCGACCCCCAAATCCTCTTTCTCCCAACTTGGGGGAGGGGGGTGCGATGCCACGGGGAAGAAGAACACGCCTCTGATCCTGCCGAGCAAAGAGGGCAGGTGGGACTGACCGATGGAGCTCTGTTTGACCTCCGCGACGCAACCATCGAGGCTCTGGGCGGAGCTCGATGAGAAGGACACGGGCTCGGTAGGGGCACCCAGTGACGGAGACTGGGGGGGCAGTCTTTCTCCAGTGGATCTCGAAGGAGACTGAGGTGGTCTCTGAAAATGTTTGGGAGAAACAGGGGCACCACGTTTTTGGATCGTTCTGACAGTTGGATTGAGACAACAGTTGGACTTTCTTTTGAAGTTCTTTGGGGCACCCCCAACAGGCATCCTTAGGAGGATTTAGCTACCAGTAAAGGAGCTCAAGAGGTGGCAGAACCGATCACCGATCACCGCCCGGGTCGCCATGACTCCGATGGGTGTGCAACTGGGAAGACGCGACTCCCATAAAGTGCATGTGACACACACACACACACACTCACACACAAACAGTTTTTTTACCAATCGGGTGGAAGAATCATCTTGAATGACAGGTTCGCGGTGAAACTGCTTAGAGCCGGTCTCTTCTTCAAGTTTATTGGGGAGTGTTGAGACTGGCAAAAGGGTCTGGTGGTCTATATAGCTGTTTTTTTGCTCAGGAGGGAGCGCCGGCTCGGGTCCCGATTCAGAGGTATACTGATTGACCGCCATGTTTCACAGGGAGCGGGGGGTCACCGGGCCTCTGTTTCCTCGAGGTCTCGCTCATGGACGTCGATGGGGAGGTTGGCCACTACCTGGGCCACTTGGATGGAAGTCACCTGCAGATCGGACTGGCGGGTTCCGGTGCACCGCTGCAGATCGGGCTGTCCACGTGAGTTCAAGAGCTGTGCGGGCTAGCGCTGCGAGGGGGCCTAGAGAGTACTCAATCGGGATTGAATGAAGACACGTGCCTTCCTTTGGGGTAATGTACCAGCGAGACCTGTCCTTTTTGGTGAACAGTTGTTACATAGATGTTGTTAGCCTTCGAGCTGCTTCCGGGCCGCGATGTGTGCGATGCAAACCGAAACATAGTGGAGGCATCCTTGTTGGTGGGTATCAAACTACAATGCAACAAGTCAGTATATGAATGTATATGATATACGTTCTGCAATCCACTGTTGCTATGACTCGAGGTACTCACACTGAGCTTGGAGATACGGTTGAAGTTCTCGTCGCAAGTCACCCAGGTCCGAGAAGTGGTCATGACCTCCAAGAGCGAGACATGAATCCGCAGTAAAACCCCGGGGGGTCGTCTTCAGGGTTCGAAACACCCAGGTCCAGACGTTTGTGTTGGGGTGCAGGCGTGATGCCCCACGACGCGACGCGACCCTCGCGCGACGCTATCGCATGCCCTCGCGCGGTGCCCGATGCGCGATGCGCGTGCACGGCACGACGCGATGCCCGAGGGACCTTTAAGTCCGCGCTGGTGGAGCACTATGGGGATCTGGTCACCGGCTGGATCGAGGGCGTGGATACGCAGCGACAAGGGCACGTCCAGGAGAGGGTTTGAGGAAGGGAAGGAGAGAATCAGCTGGAATTGTGCGATCAGGTGGAGTTGGGGTGTGATGGGAGGCCGATGGAAACGGTGCTTTGGGCTACTCAAGCTGGTCGGCTTTCCTTTGAGCATGTGTTTCAATACTGCTGTCCATTCTGAATCATTCTAACATCCTCATCTTACAATGTCAATGCCAAGTCTGGTCAATACACATGGACTGACATTTTACTTATATAATTGTTATATCATCATCTAAGTGACTTGGAAAGATGAGTCCCTCTTCAATCACGTTGTTTTTCTGTTTTTCCCCCGCGACACATGGGGCTGTCCAGACCTTGTCCGTCTTGGGTCTTCGATCAGAGTCTTGGACTGATCGACGAACGCAAGGGACGTGCCCATCGGTCAACAGCCAGAGTCAACAGCTGGAGACCATGTGTTTGGAGAAAGTAAGGCTGTAAGGCCTAGGTATGGACCACATCATGACTAAGCAGCATAGTTGTGGAGAAAGGTCAACTTTTTGGAGAAAGGTCCAACTATGTCTAACTGCTAACTGAACACAACCATCATCATCCACATACTGGGACATACCCAAAGACTGATTCCTTTCATCCCGTGGGCCACCCAAAAGCAATGGCTGGGAACTGGATCATCTAAGGGGAAAGGAACAAGTAGGCAAAGAAGAATAGTCATAGGATACCCCTAATTAGCCTTCCAAGACCATTAAAAGACGATGGTGGACCTGGTGTTGTAGTGTAAAATCCTTAGTAAAACAATGGTGGTTCAGTGGAAACCATTAAAACCATGGTGGTTGGAAGCCTAGGGCCTAGGGCGGCTGCCTGTGAACATCACCTAGTGTTGTCTCGTTTCGCAGCGTTGTCTCAAAGGGGCAGATTCGGGGGTTGCAAGGAACTGAGACCGGGCTGGATGCGGTTTTTGAGGATGTGACGTCTGTGACGTTGCATGATATCACGATCTTCACGACGAAGGTTAGATGATGGACTCCCAGGATTGATGAGATTGATCGAATCGATAGATTGACTGGTTGATTACTTCCCTGGAAAGTTATGGATGCTGGAAATGACAGAGACATTTTAACTTCCCAGTGGGACAGTTCTTTTGATGGGTCATGACATGTCACGACACACATACACCCTGGCGCAATGCAACCTCTAGGTCTCTAGGTTCATTTAACGAATCAACCCAAACCTCCTCGTCCCACATCCCGGCCCTGTCCGTCCTTGCTGCTTTTGCTGCCATGTCCGCCTTCGCCACGGCCTCCTCTCCGGCCTCGTCGCGCTCGGCCTCGCCGCGCGAAGTGGGCGAACGGGGGCGGCTGGCGCCGACCTTGGCGGCCGGGGTCGCGTTAAGATGTGTGTCTTGGACAGCCAGGTGCATGGGGAGGGATTGCTGGTGGGGGTCGAAGGGGATGGGGTGGTGGGACCGGGTGGGAGCAAGTGTGTTGGGGCATTCCTCGGGGAACTTGGGAGGAGAACATGGCACTTTGGCAAAGAAGACAGGTGTTTTTTTGGGGGTCCATCGTCACATTCCAGTGAGGCGGGGTTATTCATGTTTTTTTGTTTGCTTGTTTGCTTGCTTGTTTCTTTTTTTTGGTTGTGGAAGAGAATTATATACTATAGAGTTCTTTCCCTCACACAGATATATTATGTAATATATATAGATACGCATACATATATCTATGTATATACTTGTTTGTAGGTGTTTTGTTTGGGGGGCTATTTGTTTTGGTTCAGCTATATGTTTGGGACGAGATTCGTGGATATGTATCAGCCGGAGTTCGCTTCTACGAGGTGGTCGTAGGTGCATGGCTCGGTGACGACCACATGGGTATACATATTGGTGTGCCGTTTTCCAGTGAATTTGTGGGATCTTTGTAGTTGGTTGAACTCATCCTTCCAGCTGCCCTCTTCCAGCTGCCTAGAGCCAGCAAATGCTTGCTCTTGCATGCTTCAGAAGTCAGATGAAGCACCCACGCAGGAAGATGGGGTGGCATAGGAAGATCTCTTCGAACACGCTGGTGGTTGGGCTCTAGGGGCTGGCTGGTGGTGCCTACCGACGCCTGAGATGCTGGAATCACGCAGCTTCCGTCCCGCTGAGGTCGTTGCTTTGGGTCCTCATTCTGGGCAGGCCACGTGGAATCTGGACGGGCGGAGCTTTGCGGGGCAGGCATGAGACGCCTCATGGGTGGTTTGATCATGCGGAGACGTCGATGGACGTCTCCGCATTCTAGACGATTCTGGACCAAATGTTGGGAGTGGAAGGCACGGCTAGGACCAGGAACTTGTTTGTTTTGACTGTGGTGACTTGTGGTGCAGCTGCCGAGTGCATCGGGTTAGCCGGTTAGCCTTAAACCGCAAAGCCATCAGGGGCAAGGTTCATTGGAAGGGAGCCCAGCAAGCATGTGGACAATCGAACCGTTCGAAACAATTCCCAGGACCTTCCCCGTGACCTTTTTGGAGTCCCCAAGTGACCTTTCACAGACCTGTTCGTGATCTCAAACCAAGGGGATGAGGTCAGTGGGAAGATCCAGGTCTACAGCTCGTTCCTTCTTGGCTCCATCTCAGGGGATAACTTTTAGACCACCTCTTTTAGTTCCTCGTTGAGTGCTGAAGAACGAACCTCTGCAGAAGTCGGTGTGGACGCCTTCCGCCTTCCGCCAGGGGACTCCGCCCATGTATGGGGATTACGAGGTGGGGAAGGAGCAGGGGTGGGGGTGGGACCGGCTCGGCTCACAGAAGGATGAGGCTACAACCAATAAAATCATGGTGGGCCAGGAAGCCAAACGGGTACAGAAGGATCAGGTGAAGTCATCCATCTGGGGTCTAGTGACCAAGCTGTTTAAGAGCCTATGATAGCCTACGGCTGCAAAACGGGTGCGTCATGGGTCTTGTTGTTGGGTTGTGCGGGCTTCGCTTGATGCTTTGCCCATTCCAGACTTCTGATCCTTGCTTCGATTTGCTTTTTTTGCTTGCGAATCTAGCTTTTCACCACATGAAAGGATCAATCAAGTACTGCACCGGAGAGGCACCGGAGATGCACCACCTTGCACGTGCCACCCGGGTCGCTGGTCTCCGACTCACCGGTGCTTCCGACGCACCGAGGCCCAGCGCCACTGGATGGAGCTCACGACCGCCCTGCCGGTGCGGAGCTGGTACGAGCCGGGCCCCGACAACGACCTGCAGCCGGGATGCCCGGAGGAGGAGGAGCAGAAGGTGGCGGAGGAGCAGAAGGTGGGGGACCTCTAACTCTGAAGGTTTTTAGTTCTAATCTTCCTTGGATCAAAAAGATGTGAAGTTTTGAGATCAAGTTGATTGTTTCAACTACCGGAGTTGTGAAGTGTTTTGGTGGCTTTGCAGGATATTTTTCGCGGTTTAGCTGTCCTTTGGCACATGGTTCTCGTACTTTCGCTTGCCGCCTGGAGTGTTCTCCCCAACTCCAAGGTCATCCCTCAAAACCGCCATGGAAGTTTCATGAGTAAAAACAGGTCAAAACAGCTCCGTGGACACTTTACAGTCATGTAATCGAACGAACACATGCCAAGATTTGGCATCCTTGAGTCCAAAGCTTTGTCTGCAAGCCAGAGGAGGACCCCTCTAGGCTGACACTCATGACCAGTAGATGTGAACCCCTACTAGGTTGACCTTCTCTCATCTCCATTGAGCCCCGCTGTTCGCCCCAGAAGTCGATCTCCAATTCAGGACAGTCCTGAGTCCTGACCCGTTTCGAAACGCCGGAGACTCGTTCCGGACTCGATTCCGCCTCGTTCCCCCGCCTGCAACCCGCGCGCGTGGGTTTCGGACGCGTGGAGTTCGTTCCTTTCACCCGCTAGGTATTGGGGCCTCGACTACCCCCCGCTCACCGCGTTCCATTCCTGGCTACTGGGGAGCCTCGGAGGCGACTGTTTGCTGGGGAGCCATCTGTAGTACAGTGTGCATTCTTCAGATGGAATGGTCTTGAGATGGAATGTCGTCTTTTTTTTGTTCTCCCTCATTCTTTCTCCAACTCTTTTTCGTTTTTTTTTCTGCTGGACTGTGAAGCATCGAGCTCCTTTTTCCTTTACTCCTCTTTGACTGCCACGGCAAGTCCGATGCATTTGGAGTGGTTGATGCGACCAGTCGCAAGTTGGAAGATCTCGACTTGCGAAGTGAAGTCCAACTTTGCCATGGCTTCAAAGTGAAGTCCCAAGAACTGGTGGGTGAACGCCCAAGCAGGTGTGGTTGGTGTATGTGGGATGGCAAAGGTTTTGTCCCAAAGAGCAGTTGATTCCAGGTTCTGCGAAAAGCGCATGTCAGAGCTCAATTGCTTGGGCACGTCTGTCCCACTTTCAATATATTATTCGTGATAGTTCTGAGTCTTGAGACCCTCTTTGGCTTGTGATCTTGACTTTGGAGGATGATGTTGTGGCAGGTGAGGAAATCTGGACCATATCCATCCATATCCCTCAAAATGTTCAGACTTCAACACCCCAAAATCCTCCACATCGAAGCCGGTCAAAATTCCACATCTATAGAACACCCTGGAAGTCTTCGGAACGCCCTTTCCTTTTCCGAAGATTCGATTTGGACACGTTGAAACGCTTTGCTTGAGAGTGCTGAGCAGAACGCAGGCGTCGGCAGGGCGTCGCAGTTGAGGTAACCTCTCATTCTTGTGTTCTCCTCAGAGGTGAGGCCGGAATCCGAATCCTGCCACCGAGGATCGTGGGCCACGGGGTGGATCCGCCCTGCTTCGCGCTGCACAGCAGCAGGGGCCACGAGAGCCTCCGGTGCAAGGCCCCCCGCGCGGCGCGGCGGAGGTTCGTGGGAGCTCTCTGGTGGTTGTTGGATCCGTCTCGCAGAGGTGGTGCCAAGGGGCAATAGCCCAGGGTCAGTCCCATGGTCTTGTGGCAAGAGGGGCCGTTTGGGCTCGAGCCGACGCATCTCGACGCACCTCGATGCAGAGCTGAAACTTCCTGACGCCCCCAAACGATTGGAGGCCTTCCTCCGTGCTTCCGTCCTGGT